CTGGAACGCGTGGTGTTCCTATGGGCAGGATGATTCCTGGGTCCTTGTCCAGGTGGGTTCAAAGAACGAAACCACTGACAAAAGGTGGTAGAGGAAAAGATGGAAATTATTGAGAAACAAGCACAGACTTCCACGTGGGGAGGGGGAGAGAGTCCCACTAAGTCCCTTTTTTCTAAGATTTATAAAGGCTGCAGCTCTTTGTGTCCTCATATCCTCTGATTGGTCACTATAACAGCTTCAGAGCTTAAACCCACGTGAGGTTGCCCTCTTCTTCTCCCTTATTGTTTTTCTATTCCCTTTGGCCTTCCTCTTCCCTCTCTGAATGAGTGACTTCCTTTCCTTTATTCTGTGAATGTAGACCTTATTCTATGGAAATATATGTCTTCTGGCAGCTCCCTTAGTCTGTGAATGTAGACTTTCTGCAGCTCCCAGCTTTCAGCCCTGTGGTTTTCCCCATGGACCCCCTAACTCCTAAAACTTCCTAAACCTGCCTATTTTACCCCTAAAAACTCCTTTCATTACTAGGACAAATAATTATGTCTAACTCCTCAGGACCCAGATATGATTAGAAAGCTAAATAAGATTGCTATGGCCCTTTCTTTCTACCACAAATATCAACTTTTTACCATTTTATTATCAGAACCCCCATCAAAAAATTGTATCAATGTTCAGACTTAATCTTATAAAGATTTAAAGTACCACCCCAAAAAAATAGGAAAAACAGAAGTAAAACAACTAGTTTTTCTAATGTTTAAAAAAAGTCAAGAAGAATACTGAAATTATGAATAACTTTATTTGACTAAAAAGTTTAATCACTGATTAAAGCTGAGCATATCAGGTTTAACCCAAAATACCAGGCACTCAATGACACCATCTTCTATTCAACTGAGTGGACCAGTCACACTTAAAAGAAAAAGATGGAAAGCCAAATTGAAACAGGAATTTTAGGGGTAAGATAGGACAGGTTTAGGAAATTTTAGAAATTAAGGGGACCATGGAGGAAAGCACAGGGCTGCAGAGCAGCAGAAGGTATATTTCCATAGAATGGGGGAGCTGGAAAGTTGTAACAGGTACATTTCCATAGAATGAGGAAGCTGGGAACAACAAAAGGTCTATATTTACAAAATAAAGAGAAGGAAGCCCCTCATCCAGAAGGAGAAGAAGAAAGCCCAAAGGGAATAGGAAAACAATAGGGAAAGTGGGGGGAGAGCCTCACATGTCCCATGTGAGATTCAACCTTTGAGCCCAGGAGTTACTATAGTAACCAGTCTAAGGGAATAGTGACCAATCAGAGGAGATATCAAGGCACCAGGATCTGCAGCCTTTATAAGCCATAGGGAAAAGGAACTCAGTGGGACCCTTTTCCTCCTCCCCACGTGGGAGTCCATTCTGTGGGACTCTTTCCCTCTCGCCACATGGGAGTCTGTACTTGTTCTTCAATAAATCTCCACCTTTGCTATACCACTTTCTGTCCATGGATTCGTTCTTCGATTCCGGTGGACAAAGAATCCAGGTTCCAGTCCAAAAATTTCGTATCAAAAATCACACAGTTTTGAATTAAACCCCACGCCCCATAAAATCAGCATCATAATAAAATAAATTGTTGGTTATTTTAGCTTCATCTTAATAAAGTTCAGATTCTTATGCTCGTGGCTATTTTATGTATATATTTGCTTGTCTTTTGTTGTTGTATAATGAGTGTAGCAAACTCAAGGATGGTGCTGGCTAGAAATTTTGCTCTGTAGCTTAGAACTTAGAGGTCAGCCTAATCAAATTTACTTGGCAATAAAGCCAGAAGTCCAATTGTTGTGACCCTCTTACATACTCAGACTATGGTAATTTACAATATAGGAAAAGAAAATTAATCTTAGGTAAAAGCATTTAACTCAGCTACTGTGGAACAAACCCAAGTTTTCCTATAAAATTATATGAATCTAGACTATTCTGTACCTGAATCAACATAGAGGGATCTGAATCTCTCTGAAAAAGGATTCTCTACAACTCATGGAAACTCATATATCCAGCAATGAGGAGAAATCGATATTGCTTTTGGTGGTGGGTGGAAATGAAAGATGGCACTTAACTTTCTTTAAGAAGATCCTTTGTAAACATAGGGTATTCACTTTTAAAAAGACATAATACCTTCTTTTTATTGTTTTTCTTTCTTAATATAAAAAATAAAAACTTCACTTTTTACCTCCTCTCTACTTCTTAAAGAAAGAAAGCTTCAAGATGGACACCATGAGAATAAACACTGTACGGCAGCTGTGAAAAACAGCAGTCTAGCAGCCACTGGAGCAAACAGGATGAGGTTGGAGCTCCCCTAAAAGCTCTGTTCCCAGAGAATTGTCACCATTTTATTTGTCTGGCAGCTCACTGAAAAGCTCCATTCCTAGGGCTTGTTTTTATTTGACATGACTTAGAACTCACTCTCTGCAAACAGACCTATCTACAGGGCATTTGTCAAAAACAATCAATGGCAATTGTTCAACGCTGCTGCTGCCTGAGGCAAAATTACCAACTAGGGCTAATAAGAGGCTGACCAAAACTCTTAAAAGGAAAAACTATAGAATAGTATCTCCATACAGACTTCGAAAAGTTTTGAAACATCCCTGACAAGCAAGAAAGTCATGTGTATGAGCTGGGCTTTGTGTATGCCCAGAAAAGACCTGGTCATAATCTCATACCCCATGCTGACCATGAGGCTCTGCTCAAACATAAAGTGAATGATAAGGCAGACTTGTAAATAACCTGCCACAGCATTGAAAGTGTGCCCCAACACACAACACACACACACACACACACACACACACACACACACACACACACACATCCTTAGCAAACAATGGGAGCCTCATTGGTTCAAAGCATTTAAGAAAATCTCTCTCCAATTTTTAGCTGATCTCTAAGGTCACCAAATAGAGACTTCAGTGGCTACATACAAGTTCATAAACTTTATACAGACTACGTAATTAGTCCAGGAACATCACTAAACAAGTAAAAGGCAATGACAAAATCTCGGGGGGAGGGGGGGAGCAGTGAGAAAGAAAGAGAGGGAAATGTGATTTCCAGAGTTGCTACATTATATTAAGTGTTCAGATTTTTTAAAAACACTATAAGAGAAGCAGCAGCCCTGTAGGTTGCTTGGTGTAAAATAAATAAACACTATAAGATATGCAAAGAAAGGAAAAGTGTAACTTATACACAGGAAAAAACATGAGTAATAGAAACTGTACCTAAGGAAGCCTAGATATTAAACTCACTAGGCAAAGACTTTAAGGTGGCTATCATAAATATATTCCAAGAGCTATAAGAAACCATGTATAATGAATAAAAGGATATTTTAAGTATAATATCTCACCAAATAGAGATCATCAATAAGACAAATTAGGAGGAAGAAGAAGGAGGGGGAGAAAAGAGGGAAGGGGAGGAGGAAGAAGAAAGAAGATTAAGAAGAAGAAAGGGAACCAAATATTCTAGAGTTTAAAAGTACAAAAATGGAAGTGAAAAATTCACTAGAAGGACTTAACAATAGATTTTAACTGGCAGAAAAAAAACTCAACAAACTTGAAGACAGAGTGATTGAGATTATCCAACCTGACAAATAGAGAGAAAAAGAATAAAAATAAACAAGTCTCAGAGACGTATGAGATTCCATTCAAGCGTACCAATATACCCATAATGAGAGTGCCAGAAGGAGAGGAGCGAAAGGTACAGAGAGAATGTTTGAAGATACAATGGCCAAAAACTTCCCAAAATGATAAAAAAAAAATGTTAACCTGCATGTCTAAGAAGCTCAAGAAACTCTAAGTAGGATAAACTTAAAGAGATACACACCTCAACATGTCATAGCCAAACAGTCAAAACACAAAGACTAAGAAGAAATCTTGAAAACAACAAAAGCAAAGGAAATCACCATAGATGCCTACTTAAATTCTACCTTATCAGTAATTACATTAAATGTAATGGACTAATGACTTCAATCAAAAGATAGAGATTTACAGAATAGATTTTAATTTTTTTAATTTATTGATTTTTAGAGAGAGAAAAGCAGGGGGGGGGATCAATTTATTATTCCATTAGTTGTGCATTTATTGGTTGATTCTTGTATGTGCCCTGCCTGGGGATGGAATCCACAACCTTGGCATATCGGGACGAGGCTCTAACCAACTGAGCTACCTAACCAGGGCCAGAATGGATTTTTTTAAATAAATAAATGTGTGTGTGTGTGTGTGTGTGTGTGTGTTGATGTGTGTGTGTGTGTGTGTTTATTGATTTCAGAGAGAAAGAGAGAAGGAAAGAGAGATAGAAACATCAATGATGAGAGAGAATCATCGATTGGCTGCCTCCTGCATGCCCCCCACTGAGGAACCTGGGACCCTTCAGTCCACAGGTTGACGCTCTATCCACTGAACCAAACCAGCCAAAGTCAGAATGGATTTTTTAATGATCCAATTATGTGTTTTCTACAAGAGACTCACTTTAGATCCAAAGACACAAATAAGTAAAAAATAAAAAGATGGAAAAAGATATACCATGTGAACAGGTATCAAAAGAGAGCTGGAGTGACTATGTTAGTATCAGACAAAATAGACTTAAGACAAAAATTGTTACAAAAGAAAAATGGCATTTTATATTGATAAAAAAAAAGTCAATCCAGCCCTAGGCAGTCAAGGTCACATGCCCACGTTGCGGGCTCAATCCCCAGTGGGGGGCGTGCAGGAGGCAGCCGATCATCATTGATGTTTCTATCTCTCTCTCCATCTCCCTTCCTCTCTGAAATCAATAAAAAAATATTTTTTTAAAAAAAAGTCAATCCAGTTGCCAATTTGATATTGCCACTAGATGCTTAGCTCCAAAATGAGCTCCTGATAGTTTCCCCAAAACAACTTCTAAAGTTTTCCACATCTCATTTAAAGCAACTATATCCTCCCAATCACTCTAGGGCCTAGTCTAGGCAAAAATCTTAACTCCTGCAGTTAGCCACTCAAGGAAACACCATGAAAAATACCGATATCAAGAGACTACTGTATACCCATCTTTGATGCATATTCTCAATTATCCTAAGCATCTTCATTCCATCATTCTTCTTGGAGAACTTCTCAATATTGGAAACTCGCTTGATGTGGTTGTGCATCTGTTCTGTTTTTGTAACTGCCGTCAATCTAGTATTATATTTAGTGGTGAAACCAAATGCATCCACTAAAAGAAGTTCATTATCATACAAGGTAACCAGATTTTTGAAATGCTGTTTCTACTTTCTTATGTCTTGTTTCGTCTTTCGTGTAATTTTTGTTCTATATGGAGCACCATTAATAGAGCTGGTGTTGGAAACATTTTTATTTGCAGTGAGCTTGTCTACTTTTACTACTGTACCTTGTTTGTGTTTGTTAGGACCAAACGTCAAAGCATGGCTAAGAGTTTTCAGTAGAAACGGAGTTACATCTGTTTGGGAGAATAGTCTCCAGATCACCACAATTTCTAGTTTTCTAGGAACATGGCTTGGAGCCTTTCCTAGTCCACTCAATTGGGAAAGGCCATGGCAGGTCCGGCCCATCTCCTGCACGCTTGGAGCAACCTTTGGCTATGTGGCTGGCCTCGGTATTTCACCACTCTGGATATACTGGAACAGAAAGCAACTTACATACAAGAACAATTAATTGGAACAAAGGAAGATGTTTTGTGTGTGCAGATTCCATAAAGACTGTGCAGAAATGTATATGGTCTAAGCCAGGCAGTCCCATTTACAGCACTGTTTTTTTATGTAGTTACATGATGTGATTGTAGCTTTTTAAACTATGGAACCCCTGAGAGATTGTACCTTCTAGTTGAAATAAAGTATTTATAATAGAAAAAAATCTTAACTCCTTCTTTCACCTCCTACCTCTGGTGCCTCAGCAAATTCTATCAGCATTATCTTCAAAATATATCAAGAAGTTAAGCACTTATCATCATCTTTACTATCAGCACCTTGATCCCAAGATCATCTCCTCTCTGGATTACTTCAGTAACCTCTTAATTAAGCTGCCCTCATTTTTTTTTCAAGTTACCCCAGGACTTTAAGGGGCATAATTACTGAAAAGCACACTGTAATTAGCATCGATAATTAGATAGAAATAAGAAAATATAGAAAAAATATAGAGCAAATTTGGCAAATAAATTTTAAAACTGTTCCAAATAAAGCTACAGATAACTTCCAGTAATTATGCATCTCCAAGAAAGCTTCAGTGTAATAAAGTTTGTTTTTATCACCTAAAGGTTATTTTATAACTGTGTTTTATAAGTATTTCACAACTAATAATTTTGTCCAAAAAATACCCGCCTCATCCTTGTCCATTTAACAGTTGCCCTCCACAAGAAGTTGCCTCATTGGATGTTCCTGGTATTTGCATGCCAGATAAGTGAAATGAGGCTGCTGAACTGCTGGAACCAAACTCTTTATATCTCCAGTGGTCTGATGGCAAGCAGCATTTTCCCTTTCATCGCACTCCTATTCCTGTACCCATAATAGTTTTTAATTTTTTTAATATTTTTAATTGATTTCAGAGAGGAAGGGAATCAACAAAAATACATTTAAAAATAAATAAATAACTTACAAATTATTTATTAAGTATATACACATTCATTCAGAAAAAGACACTGGGAGAGGGTGTTGCCTGCATGATACTAATGTGCAGTGCAGCGCACCCTACTCAGCAGGTCACGTGATGTAGCCCTTCAATGCAAACACTTGGTCCCGCGGGCTTAGGTCCCATTCCGGTTCCTGTGTGTGTGAGCTGTGCAACTCAAGTAAGATACCAAACCTCCAAGCTTCAGCTCTACCCACTGTAAAATGAAGGGCAAGAGCGGTACTTACTTCATGTGGCATTTGTAAAAATTAAATGCAATAAATGAATCGTTGACACTAAGTTCTGTGCCTGGCACAAAGTAAAATAAGTAATACTTAGTATTATTTCCGTTTAACAGGAAGAAAAATAACAGCAATAAGAAAAAGTAATCATCACCCCTGAACGGAGGAAAATAACATTTTAACTGTACTCCTTCACTAACAACAAGCTGTGTGTGGGAAAAACTCTGCCTGAGAATTTGATGTTTTCCACCCAAAGTCAGTTTTTACCAGTTCTTTGTATCATGTATCCTAAGGGCCAGGAAATTCCCTTTTTGTACAGGATAACCCAATTATGGCTGCCCAGGAGGGCTGGAAACTTGAAAAAGAGAGGTGATGAGCTCTCAAACTATGAAGAAAAACCAGTAATATTTAAAGAGTTCAGGGCCGCCGGAACCGGTTTGGCTCAGTGGATGGAGCGTCGGCTTGCGGACTGAGGGGTCCCAGGTTCGATTCTGGTCAGGGGCATGTGCCTTGGTTGCGGGCACATCCCCAGTGGGAGATGTGCAGGAGGCAGCTGATCGATGTTTCTCTCTCATCGATGTTTCTAACTCTCTATCTCTCTCCCTTCCTCTCTGTAAAAAATCAATAAAATATATTTAAAAAAAAAAAAAAAAAAAGAGTTCAGGGCCCTTAAGTGGACTATGGCCAACAAAAGCTGGCCCTGTAATGTGAAGGAGTTAATAACTATGTCTGATGTTGAATTTGAAGTTGTTTCTTGTTCTGAGCTATTAGCCCATTTATCCTTAAAACTTTCCTAAGAGTGTGATGTTCATAGTACCTTATCAGTGGTGATTTCGGCAATAAAGGACTAAGGATTGGGTCGCAAGTAGAATACTGTGGAATGAGGAAAGGACAGGAGCCAAAGAAGAGAAGATTGGTCAGAGGAAAATGAAACTGAAGAGCAAATCTAGATTAGAGCCAGAAAGTCAGGAGACAATGTAAGTGCTACCAGGAATCCTTGAAAATATTGGGAAGAGCACTGGGCCTCCAACATTAAATGTGATGAAAGCGTTAGTTGCTCTGTTTACTAGAATAAATGTTAAACAAGATATAAAAACTGGTGGACTTGGGGCTACTCTGGCTACACTTAGTAATTCACATATCTAATATTAAAATTTTACATAATTCTACCCTTATATATTTGGACCAATCCAAAGTTAGGAAGCTAAAATTAAATGATATTCTATTTAAAATATGTAAAAAATGGTGACTTTTTAAATCAAAGTTCTTACATTTAAATGCCAAAATATAAATCATAACTAAAAGCGTGTCATATAACATACTGAAAGCAACAATGACACAGGAATCAGCCTAAGTAAATGCAGATTCTAGACTTGCCTCTACTGTGTGAGCAGGAAAATTCACTCTCAAGTCCTCCATGTTTCATGAGCTTGGTCTGTCAGTTTGAGCTAAGGGACCCTGGTCTGTTAGACTAGATATCTACAATCCTCACGCCTCTACCTCACCATTCATTCATAAGTGGGCTTCCTCCATTCCTGATGCTATCTGTTCCTCTGGCCTTCTTGGGTTTTGAGGACCCACTAAAGTCCCCAGTTTACTTTTCTGGACTTCAGGATACCTTAAGCATTGGACTTGATTCATTCATTCCTTCACTCTGCCTTTTCTTATTGCCTTTGATCAGACTTTCTTCTCCATCCACCAACTCTGCCACTGCTCCTATTCATGCCCAAGAAGGCCCCAGTCCAACCTCTAAGACAGTGGTTCTCAACCTTCCTAATGCCGAGACCCTTTAATACAGTTCCTCATGTTGTGGTGACCCCCAATTTCATTGTTACAAATTGAACATAATTAAAGCATAGTGATTAATCACAAATACAATATGTAATTATATATGTGTTTTCCAATGGTCTTAGGTGACCCCTGTGAAAGGGTCGTTCGACCCTCAAAGGGGCCGTGACCCACAGGTTGAGAACCACTGATCTAAGAAGTAGTAGAGATTTGGGCAATAATAACACCCACTGCTTGGTGCCCATGAAAATAAAATGACACTATCTCTACAAAAGCTCTGTATAAAAATAAGGCATTAGAACATGACTTTGTATAAATAGTCACAGAAAGATGTCTATGTGATGGTATTAAACTCTGTCCAGCTTGGATTTTTTAATCAATGTTATGCTAATCTATATACTGTGCTTCCAATAGCTATTTCTCTTGTGAAAACAGTGGGATTTGCCCCAAATGAGCAGGCAAAAACAATGCTTTTTTTTTTTTTTTCCAAATCTGCCTGTAGAAGCAAATAGGTGCCACTGTAAGAACAGCACACTTAAAAATGTCACTACTAGTAGGGAGTACTACAGATGTTTAAGATATGAAAAACCGACTCACACAGTTGAGGATCAACTCCCAAAGTGCATCTATGAGTTAGTCTCAAATTCCTTCCATAATACACAGCAATATGTAGACTTGGCTCCACACAGCTTCCATGGGAGTGCATGCGAATTCTCTCCCTGGAATCCCATTGGCCCTCCTTACACAGGCTGTAGTCTCCTCCTAAGGGGAAGGCAGGGCAATTCAAAGGCCCGGATGGATGACTTTGCCTCAGCTACCTTTGTCTTCCCAAGGCTGCACTGACCTATGCAGCATTCATTTCCCTGCTCTTTCTTTTTCTAACCTCCACTTCACCTTTTTTTTGTAATTATTCTCAACAGAAACCTCTTTAACTAAGCTGTTAGTACCTTAGCCCAGGACATAAGTTCTGTTAGATAGTTCCAGGTGCCAACTACTCTGGCTGTAACTGAACAAAGTTGATGTACTGAGACACTGCAAATAAGAAACAGTTCTGCCGATCATTAAAAGTTAAAATCATTACTTAAATGACAAGAAATTTAGCATTAAATTCATTACTGGAATAAAAGTCAACATAGCAATTACAGAGGGAAATTGCAAGCACTATGTTAAGTCTATTCTCTGAACTCGAGGTAGCCAGTTTCTTTAACGCCGTCTTTCATAGCCAAACGTGGTCCTGTCCGTCACTTGCAGTCGCTCACCGGCTCAGTCACAAAAGCTCCCTGTCATCTCTGGCTAGGAGTCCGACAGCTTCCAGAGCATCAGTTCTGTCACTAACACTCATTTCTTTTCAACCTACGTAAGATTATATTAATTGAACCAGGCTAGAGACATTCTTATTCTGTTAAGATCAACCTTGAGGCCAGACCTGTCCTCACTTGGCGTTTTTCTGCGGGGTCCATTTCGAGGGCTCTCCCTCCAGATGCCTCTCAGTTGCCTTTAGTCAGTGACTCAGTTTGTGGTGGCCACGCTCAAGATCACAGAAATGTTTCCCTCAGTTGACACCCCATTAACTTTGGAGGTGAATTACCTTAGAGGTGTGCTTCTGCTAAATTATAACTGGCACATTCAGGTCAATTATCCCCCCCTCTACCCATCCCGACTTATTTCTCTCTCAGGCAATAAGAACAGCCACCTGCCTCTCAGAACACCTGCTTCTCAGAGAACCCCTCAGACAGGTGACTGCCCGGGTGACTGCTTGGGCTGCCGAGGGGGGAGGAGCATTCTAAGCCATCTCTGCGAAGAAGCCCACACTCTTTGCTTTGCTTTCATGCATTTCTCACAGACATCATAAAAACTCAAACAACATTGTAAGTGTCTCATGGTTATTTTGCACACACAGGATACAATAGGGCTTTTTGTTGATTTATGAAGAAATGGCACTATCGTGTATGTGTGAGTATTTGCGGTCTGCTTTTGCTAACATGACTACAAGAGAAAAGTAAAAGGGAATAAAATACAGGT